GAAGAATGATGTCTGAATTAAAGTTGTAGCCAGATACGTTAGCTTTCCAACTCATTTTGCATCGCCTCAATAGGATAGCAGAATACAAAGTTATGATAAAAATACTGAAAGAAGGTGCAGCTGCCTGTTTGAAACAAGAAATTCCGTTACATAGTCCGTTATATTGAGACCTATTTTTGGCATATAAAGTGGTCGAATTGGAGAATGATGTCTGAACCAAAGTTGTAACCAAATGAGTTAAATTTCCAACGCATTTTGAATTGCCTCAATCGGATATCGGAATACAAAGTTATGATAAAAACACTGAAGGAATGTGCAGCTGCCTGTTTAAAACAAGAAATTCTGTTACATAGTCCGTTATATTGAGACATATTTTTGGCATAGAAAGTGATCGAATTGAAAAATGATGTCTGAATCAAAATTGTAGCCAGATGAGTTAGCTTTCCAACTCATTTTGAATCGCCTCAATCGGATATCAGAATACAAAGTTATAATAAAAACATTGAAATAAGGTGCAGCTGCCTGTTTAAAACAAGAAATTTCGTTACATAATCCGTTATATTAAAACCTATTTTTGGCATATAAAGTGATCCAATTGGAGAATGATGTCTGAATCAAAGTTGTAGCCAGATGAGTTATATTTCCAACGCATTTTGAATTACCTCAATCGGATATCGAAATACAAAGTTATGATAAAAACACTGAGTATCCAGATGGGTTAGCTTTCCAACGCATTTTGAATCGCCTCAATCGAATATCGGAATACAAAGTTATGATAAAAACACTGAATGAAGGTGCAGCTGTCTGTTTAAAACAAGAAAATCCGTTACATAATCCGTTAAAACAACAAATTCCGTTAGTTTTTTCGTTAAACCAATAAATTCTGTTAAATAGGCACTTTTTATATATAGAAAGATATATATATGAACAATGTTATTTATGATTGTGATAATATTAAGAGTTATGTTAGATGTACACAATGAGTTACACAATGGATTACACCTCCTCAAATGGAGGGGGATCCATACACAATAAAATTTTCTTGGGCCCCCAACCATGTGAGAGGGGTGTAATCCATTATATAAATCACCGGATGTACATCTAGCATAATTCTAATATTAATACATGGTTCTTACTTCTTACGCCATAAAATTAGACCGAGTTTGGCATTCACTTCTGAAAACTCTTATGAGCTTCTCACAAAGTCCACTTCTTCACGCCCTTGTTTGGTCTCAATTTTTTTATTAATTACTTTTATCAAAAATTCGTTTTAAACAACAGATTTTTATGGGCTAAATCTCTTTTTGATTTTTATGGGCTAAATTACTTTTTCCCAAAATTCATTCTACTAAAAATTTAATATTTAGCCAAATCAAATAGAGGCTAATTCTCATTTTGAGCCCTTGTTTCTAATTTCTTTTCAACTATATATTCTTCAATAAAATAATATTACACGCACCCCAAAAAAATTCCTTCATTTTTAGCCATACATTATCCATCAATCTACTATTCTAAAATGCATTCTATTTTTAAAAAATGGGTCTCAAACCGGCTCTGAAAGAATGGCCTCAATAGTGTTATACACAAAAGGAGATATAGCACGTATTCTTCACTCAACCATAGGTCAAATCATCTCTGAGTCCCAACATAGAAAACTTTCTTATGCTCGCATGTGAAACGTGCTTGGGTAATTTTTGCAAGGCTTCGTATGTTACTACTACTAGAGTGTTTGAGACGTTTCTATCGAGTCATTGCCCTACCTTACATGCCGATCAACATGTTGTTGAGCTTCTTGTTTGGTAGTTTGTGTTCACCATGACTTTCAATATAGAAAAGGGTTTATGAGGTTAACATCTAATTCATGACTTTGATTCCCTTGAGCACTTTTTAGGTAAGTGGCAAATATTAGCTCTGATTTCTCTCCCAAAAGTCTATCATTTTATGATTTTCGTTTCATGATAATTTAAAATTGTTTAAATTAAAACTATAAAGCTATATTTTCTTGAATTACATGACTTTACCTGTGCATGTGCGTGAAAATTTAGGGGTGAGAGTCTTTGTAGAATAAGGTTAGGATGAAACAACCCTAATTCACGCGTGTTTTCATTTAGATCTTTCTTGATGCAGATATTGATGAATTGATAAGGTAGTTTCCTCTTGGAATATATTAGCCTGAGATATGTGCCATCAATCATTATTGTAGAATACTAATGGATTTCTCTAAAGGCAGTATGCTTTGCTAGCAGCCCCTCGTCAGACGGTGCTACTGTCTAGGGGAGCACTTTCTCTATGATGTCGAGGCCTCTATCAAATGGGTTATTGGATCAAGGTGTCGAGGTAACTCGTTCGGACTCTTCAACAGACACACTCTTTCGATCAAGTTAGGGAGAACCCTCAATTTATCCGATATAAATTTTAAATCGATATAAAAAGTAGGATGAATCAACAAATCTTAGCAGGTTGTTTGTTGAGTATTGCTCAAAGAGCAGGGCCGCCCTGGCTCCTTGGGCCTCAATTCTTGAGGGGCCTCAAAAAATCAAAAGCCCAAAAATTCAACAAAAAAACTCCTTTCTTTTTTAGAGTTGGATCATTTATTCTATTATGATGGACTAAAAATAAGCCCAAAACACTTGGACACTTACATCCTTAACGAGTTTAATTTAAAAAAAAAAAAAAAATCTCCCATAATTTTTTAGTAAGCTTATAATTTAAGAAAAATTAAAAATTAATTTTTATGAAAGTTAAAAATAAGTTATTTATTTTAAAAGGGCACATTTAATTTTTCAAAATAATATAAAAAAATTAATTTGAATTGAATATGAATGATACTAAAGAGATCAATACGCTTACAGAAAATTATATTAAGAGTTCCGTAATAATTTGTCGTCTAGAATCTCGAATATCTTAGGGCCGGCCTTGCAAAGAGCATAGACCTATGTGAATGTGAACACACGCTTTTTTGAAACCTGGACTTGATCTTTCTTCTATTCTATTCTCCTTTGCAAGCAAGCAAGCATTTCACATACAATTTTTCCAAACCACGCCGTTTTCAATATTGTGGACTTCAAATCAGCTGGTTATTGTCAACTTTACAACATCATCGCTTATTTTTCAGGGTACTTATAATTAATTAATTTATAGTTTGATTACTTATGACGCAATCTTCTTGCTGAATTTGTGGCTCCTTTTCCTTCACGTCTCCATTTTTATCCTACTTTTCTCGTCACCTGAATACAACGATTTTTATTTGCTACTCGATAGTCGAAGTGTTGCTTTTGGACCCCAACCTATGATTTATTTATTTATTTATTATGGGTAGTTGTTGGAAATAAACTCTCTAGCTTAAATGTTAATAAAAGTTTAAATTAAAGTTAATAGGTAATGTGGTTCATGGGATCCACTTTTCTTTTCTTTTTTTTTAATCAATAATCAGATGAATGATGCATGTTAAGCTACCGCGCGATTAATATTTCAATAGCAATAGACAATTAGCCCCCAGTTTAATTTAGGTAAAAATTAGATTTTTATTAGGCTCCTGTTTGGGGGCAATTTTGTATCCAATTTTTAGCGAATTTGAGACCGTTATATAGTGTTTAGTCTGTGCAGGGAGCCGCAAATATTGACTGAATTAACTAAAGTTACCAGTATGTCCCTTAAGAGAGTGTTTGGTATGGATTAAAATTATATTTTTAGTAAATTTTAATAGAAATTTTTGAAATGTGTGTTTGAAAATTGAATTAAAAAATAAAATAAAAAATCAATGTAGTAAAATTTTTAAAAAGAGAATAAAAATGCTTAGAAATGGATATGGGTCTATAGCTCGGTCCAGTTTCCTCCTCTATCCGCCATTGTTTTATGAGATTATGCGTGCCGTAAAGGCTCAAATACCTCCTTGAATCAACGGTAGTAGAAATTTGTTATTTATCATTAGTCTAGACATCATACGAGTGTTATTCATTGATAAATTACCTTAAAAATAGGAAAACTCGTGGCTTTTAAAATATCTTATCATTTGTATGTCACATAAACTTGTGTTACAGCCATAGTTTACTACATGGTATTATTCGATGAAAAGAACAAAGATGACAAACGATGCCCGACATCCTCAGGGGCAAATCTAACTACAGTCGTCGAATTTCTCTCTCTTTGCATGGATACACTATGAGCATTGTAAAATGCTTGATAACCTCTAAAAATCTTCCTGGCTAACCTCAATTTTATTACATCTCGGAGCTTACTATCAAGTACGACGCACACAGATTGCTTTCGATATACCTGGTCAAACAACGAATTAAATTTCTTAAAAATTTCCTTGACTTGTTCTCGCGTCCTCACGGCCATTGGATCCCTTGGCAGAGAGTTGGTGACGAGGCTCCATCCCAGCCGCTCATACGTCGCCGCGAACTGTTGGACCTTAGAATCGTGTTTCGACAGCCAGTCATCACCGAGGAGGTTTTTGATATTTGATGCTCGGACCTTTACGACGACGTATTGGAGATTGTTGGCTAAAAATAGGTAAGAGAGAGACACGTCTTTATAATACTTCGCTTTGACGTCGAGTTTGCGTAGGAGAACCAAAATAAGCCATGCCATATGTCGAGTAATCGGTTGTGCCGGAGATTCGACGGAATCGGTAAATCCAAAGTATGATTCCGGTTCTGAATTATTCACCGGCGGTGGTGAATCAACTAGGATATCGGAGAGAATATTGCTATAATCAGAGAGAGCCGACAAATAATTCATCACATCGATCGTCAGATTATGAATTCCGGCACCGGCTACTGGAGATTTTGATGAATCCTTTAGGATATCCGATTCAAAGACATACAATGCGGTCCGTACATACTCGCCGAGGCTAACGAGTGACGTCAGCGCCCGAGATTTGATGGTGGTAGTTGAACTGAAGGAGAATATGGAATCAATTTCTGGCCAGCGATCCGAGATGCCGGTGTACATGTCCAGAATACGGAACACTTTCTCCGGTGATTTTTTGCTGTTTTTGGCCACATTTTGTGGAAATCCGAACAAAATCATGGCTCCTTCTTTTGTGATTTCGTTAAAACACGACTCTCTGATCGAATCTGAAGAAGCAAACACATGATCACAGAGGATTTTTTCTCCATTGAATAGAGTCTTTACTGCAGTTCTCACGGCATTGAGCCAATTATTGATTCTCAATTCCAGAGCATTCCAATCCATTTTATGAACCTTGGAAGCACTGAATTTTTCCACCCCAAGCTTGAAAATACCTTCATCCACTATCGATTTTCGAATAATTGTGTATATTTTCAAACATTCTTTGGCATAGCCACAAGAAATCATGCAATCCGCAATCAATTTTAAATCTGCCATTGCAATACTAGAAGCGTCTTCTACTTCAGTTATGGACTCCTTCACAATCCTGATATCATCATCGTCTTCATCACCATAATCAGATATGCTCGAGTGTATCGAGGTTCTAGAGGATCGAGTGGAAACCGATTCAGGATCCAAATGAGCTCGATTCATGGACAAAATCTGATAAAACTCCTTCTGAAGTCTTTTCATGGCAATTTGCATCAGATTTTGCGCTCCGACTAATTTTTCTGAGTTGGAGTTTCCGGTGATGAAAAGTTGCATGGCCTTTTGCAGATTTTTCACCCACTTGACGAAATCAAATGCTTCCTTGCGATTATCATAAAATAAAGAAGTAACCTTTGCAAAGGTGGTGGTTTCTGGGTTCCATTTCATGATTATGGGGTCAGCCATTTCCAAAGTCCGATTCATTACCGACTCGGAAAAGCTCGGCTTAGAAGGCGAGAATCCAAATCTTGATGGCAAAGGAAAATGAGATACAGAAGGAGAGGTAGAAGTAGAAGTGGAAGCAGATACTTTTGGTGAAAACAACAAACTTCTCATCCCCTTTATCGGCATTTTTGTTAGATGATTTCGGGTAAAAGATTGTAAATTTCGGGGTTCTAATGCAGTGAAAGAAAATAATGCAGCTTTGAGGAGTATATATAGAGAAGATGGAGGGGGAAGGCGGGAGTTGAAATTAGCTTTAGAGGTTGGAGGTGCCGGAGGCGGCGGAATAGTTGGACTTTTGAGAGTACGGTAATCCTAATAATAACAGAAACAGGGAATCAAATGTATGTGTTGTCGTTGGACGCTCAGAGGTTGGAAAAAAATTACGAATATTCTTCTCCTTTGTTTCTCGTGGCTTCCTTGGAAAATTACGTCAATTCCCTAGTTTCATTTTGTTTTACTTTAATTGTATTTTTGGACCTTGATGATATATAAATTATTATTTATGTTGTCTAGTACAGTCTGATTATACACTGAACATGCATGCAGTAAATAATATATTTAGTGGGTGTTTGGTGTAGATTAAAATTAGATTTTTAGTAAATTGTAATAGAAGTTTTTGAAATGTGTCGTTGAAAAGCCGTGAGATTCATGTAAGATGTTATTAATATTGATTGTTTGACTTTAACTTAAATTAAAATTTGATTTTACTCGAAACAAACCGGCCTTAATGAACAGATGAGATGATTATTAGTCTAAATTCCAACGGGCTTTTGTAAAATTAGAAACTAGATTTAAAAATATATATATATATATTCTAATTCCAGGTGCAATTCTTTGTCTGGAGAGCCTATCAATTCCACTTTCATTCTCCCTTCCATTATATCATAATTTTCCAATATCATTATTTTTTTCTTTTGGAAGACTAGGTTTTCGCCTTCAACTAGAGGTGTCAAGACGGACGGACCGGTCAGACCCGTGAAAATCGGTCCGGATCGACTCGGGACCGCGGGCCAACCAGTGACCCGAGCGAGCGGTTCACGGGTCAAGAAGGTGTGACCCGCGGGTTTCATGGGTTGCACCTTCACGGGTCACGGTTAACCCGTTGGCCCGTGAATTTATTTATTTTTTTAATTTGAAAAAAAGGGGGGGAGAGAGCCAACCTGTTAGGATGTACTTAAATTATAAATTATAATAAAAGTAGGTATCAACCTCGTTGGGATGTATTTATGCTATAAATATTTGATAATAGTAATTAGAAATCTTGTTATTTGTTTAAATTAAANTTTACATTTAACAAAAAAATATTTTTTGCTATAAATATGAAAAATTCTATATTTTTACAATTTTATTTATACAATAATACCGGACAAATCAGAACAAACCGCAACCCGCGCAACCCGTGACCCGCATGGGCTCGACTCGGATGGGTCAGCAGGAGGGCCGGGTTGCAGTCCAAAATTTGTGGACCGACCCGGAACCCGTAGCGGGCGAACTTTTTTTCACGCGGGCCGTTACCGAACTCATATGTTGGCGAGCCGACCCAACTCGGAGTCCCGGACCACCCGGATTGACAACTCTACCTTCAACACACACCTTTCACTTTAATTTTCTCGGAACTCGGTAATTTCTCCTTACTGATTCCATTCACACGAGGATAATATTTTTTTCGAGTTGGAAATAGAATTTTTCCTTCCGATTATAGCAGGATTTCCCTCTTTTTTTAAGAATTTTTGGTGTGTTTTGAAGCCAATCCTCTATTTCAGAAAGGTATTTTGACGTCGTTTAGTTGGATTTCTTTTTTTATTGAAAATATTTTTTTAAATTTTTGAGTGGTTTGATGCATAGGGATGACAAAAAAGCTCGTCGACTCGAAAAAAGCCCGAGCCACGCAGCTCGTCGGCTCGGAAAGATCCCAAGCCGAGCGCGGCTCGGGCTCAGTTACACAGAGCCAAGGCTAAGGCCGAGCCCCATTTTGGGGCGTTGGCGTGGCCCGGGCGAGCCTGCCCATTATTAAAATAAATAAATTTAAAATTAATTTTTTAAAAGAGTTGTGTGTTGCCGCCTTCAATCAATATAAAAAAAAATCCGAGCCTGCTCGGGTCGAGCCTCATTTTTTGGCCGGCCTTTGCTCGGCTCGGCTCGGCCCCAAAAAAGCTAGAGCCGAGCCCGAGTTTTTTTTTTCGATTCGGACTCGGCTCGTTGACATAGCTACTGATTCATATATTCTTCCAATTCGAGGCTTTTTATAAGGAGAGATAATCTTTTATTCTTTAGGTTTTTTTAAGTAAAATTTTGATCAAGTTTTATTTTGTAATTGTCTTATTTATAGGCGATTTTAGGGCAATTTAGTCATTTTATGAGTTAACACTCTTCGTCATATGTAAAAGTCATGATTCACTCCAATTTTCAAAGCTTAAGAATACTGTTGCTTCCGTGATGCTTGTTCATAATCTCATTGTTTGTCCGCTAGAGCTTTGAAACCTTGGTTGATATTGTCAAAATTCGCACTAAAGTTTTCCACCTAATCACTTCTCGCCACAGCATCTTCATCACTGCATCTGATCAGATTCTTTTGAAAAAGTAGCATTATTAATAAAAAAATATTAGTTGACGAAAGCATATTCGTAGTTAGAGAAACTATTTATAACTGTTAATTAAGCCCATGTTTGATAATAATTATTCGAAAAAAATAATGTTTTGAATAATAACTTTTAAGAAAATGTGTGGTTAAAAAATATGTAATTTTTTTTTGAATTTACGTGCAAAATATTTTATTGTGTGAATGTATTGGGTTTTGTGACCCAAATCCAATCCAAATTGGGTTTAGGGCTTCGCATTGTGGAATATTGGGCTTGAAGATGACAAAATAGGGTCCAAGAAGGAAAAAAAGCGAATTGACGGTGCTGGACGGACGCCTGCTTATAGCTCAAGCGATAGGAGCAAAATTGGAACAGGGAGTTCGTCGCCCGCCTGTCGCTCGAGCGACGGGCCACGAATTTTTTCCTTCTTTTTCGATTTTACGCGATTTTTAACCTAGTTTCCATATTTTAGGTCTCCTATAAAAGGCAAAAGTTGTATTTTCTCTCCATTGGTTGTTATTAATAAACTATTCGGTTCCTCTGCCAATTTCATCTTCTTGTTTATTTTCTTTTAAATCTTATTCTTATTTAATAGTTTGTGCGATCTATACTTCATGTAGTGCCTAACGCCTCCTCGAATTCCTGACAAGTGGTATAGAGCCAATGGTCAGCAGTTCCGTAGAGCAAGGATTTGATTGTTTAAGCTTTTTTGTTATCGATGGTTTCTATGAAGTATGATATTCCGCTGTTAGATCGCAGAACAAGATTTTCGTTGTGGCAAGTGAAGATTAGAGCTATATTGGCGTAGATGGATTTGGATGATACTTTGTTGGGATTTGATAGGATGCCCACAACTTGGACAACATAGGAGAGCAGCGAAAGGTTCGGAAGGCACTTTCGCAAATTCATCTTCATTTGTCTAACAACATTCTTCAGGACGTCTTGAAAGAGAAGACATCAGTTGCATTGTGGTTGAAACTGGAGCAATTGTACATGACCAAAATCCTGACCAGCAAATTGCATCTGAAGCAGAGGCTTTATTCTCATCGCATGGCAGAAGGCTGACCACTGGAAGATCATCTGGCTATGTTTAAGGAGATCATCGCTGAAGAGGTAAAATATGATGAAGAAGACTTGACCTTAATCCTGTTGTGCTCGCTGCCGGTTCGTTTTCATCGTTTAGGGATACGATTTTGTACAGTCATGACACACTCACCATTGAAGACGTGTATGATGCCTTGTTCTCAAAGGAGAAGATAAAGCATCTGGTTGGAGCTGGTTCCAGAGATGAGGAAGCTCTTGTGGTTTATGGTGATCGGCGAAGGGTCAAGTCGAGGATAGATTTCAGCAATAGGGTTCGCTTTTACTTTAAAAAGAAATGACACATCAAGAGAGATTGCGAGAAGTTGCAGGGTAAGGATAATTCAGCTGCAAATCGTGGAAAGCAATCAGAGATTTCGGGTGAAGCAGACATCGCGGAGAACTTTGTAAGTGAGAGAGATCTTTTGACGATTTATGACGTGGAATCCAAGCCGGACGAGGAGTGGATTTTGGATACAGCTTGTGCATTTCATATTAGTCCCAATCAAGGTTTGTTTGTATCATATGAACGGTGACGCAGGTTGTCATTGTCATGGGAAACAACGAATCTTGTGGGGTAGCTGGTATTGAGAGAGTCAGGTTGAAGTTGGTAGGTGGAACAATCAGAACACTTGGCCAAGTTCGACATATTCCAGACTTGAAAAAGAACATCATCTCACCGAGTACCCTGGATTCGAGAGGGTACACGTTCTCTGGAGCGGTGGAGTCTTGAAGGTCCGGAAAGGTGTCCAGGTTGTATTGGAGTCTTGAAGTCTCAGTTATACATCTTGTAAGGTTGTGCAGAATCAGTGAAGAGACATCAGCACATGTTTGGTACCATGGTGGATATATAGTTTGGTACAGAACCGTTGAGAGTTGGCTCTAGGTCTATTTTGGAGAATACTACTATGTCAAGTTTGACGGATATGGGTAATTCTGCTTTGCCACCACAATCTACGGTTCCATTGTATTCAACGGCTAGGCAGAGACCTATTGGAAATAAGTATGGGGATGCTGATCTGAATGTGCATGCTTTTGGAGTTGTTAAAGGTGACGAGTCTAGCTAGTGACCTTCAGTTAAAGCATTTAATGGTGACTCTGCTACAGGGTGTGCTTCGACCCTATTTGATAAATTTTGAATTTGTTGTGAATTTGGGAACCCGGGGGGTTGGGTTCATTTGTATCCGTGTTTGGATATGGTGGAAGGGGAAAAGTATTTTCGAGTGTTAGAGAGGTTTGGTTCAGTTTGAAGAGTTTAGTGTGTGTTTCGCTGTAGTCGGATTTATTTTTCCAGGTGGAGAAATTTTGGAGTTTCGTTCATTGCACCGAAATTTGTGTCAAGATGGAGATTGTTGGGTTTTGTGACCAAAACTCGATCCAAATTGGGTTTAGGGCTTCGCATTGTGGAGTATTGGGCTTGAAGATGACAAAATATGGTTCAAGAAAAAAAAAAGGCGGAATGACGGC